GCTGCGGCCCGGCTGATGCCAGCGCGGTTCGGCTGCGGCCCTGCTGATATCAGCGCGGGTGAGCTGCAGCCCCGCTGATGCCAGCGGGGGTGAGCAGCTCTCGCGATTTCACCGCTGCAAAACTAGTTGTCTTGGGTACCAATCCAGCCCAGTCCGATCCAAACGCGTGCTCAGTCTCACGCTGGACATGGAAATGCTTGTTGTTCTTACAAGGTTTCTGGATGGCCGCCCCTAATTGATAGTTTGCATGACGTCCATGGAAGCCGTGACTGAGGGCTAGGTGCGATTACACCGAGTGTTGGTCCGTACAATTAGCCTGGACCGTTACTTCGCTAACCACGGCCCGCTGGTGATGCATGAATGAGGAAAGCGCGCATGATCGGGCCACCTGATGTTCGTGTTCCTCCCATTTCGCGGCGGGTCTGTGAAGTGCTGGTTACCATGGTGACGGCCGACGCGTCGCACCCCATCGCCTTCACGAGTGCCTGGTAGTCAGACGCGTCTGCAGCGCCCGGGCGGGCGCCGGCGCACGTGTGCCCCATCCACTCCACGCTTGAGCTTACGATGTGTTTCCTTCTTCCACCGAATAGGAGCCACAACATTCAGCAATCGTGACTCTGGACGATAGCTTCATGCTGGTAACCTTGACGTCGCGTAGGAGAAAACAGGATGTGAATCACTGAGATCAGACACAGGCACACAAATGCTGCGGTACTGGTAGCTTCTGCCATATTGTCCTGAACCACGCGCCGTGGATGGAACCCGACGCCAAATGTCCGGGCTTTATTATTTGTATTGGGGGAGAGTGGGGTGAGCTGTCTGTTCAAGTAGTAGCAGAGAAGTTTACTCAAAATGGCTCTGACGGGTGGCAGTCTTAAGGCACTCAGCTGACGCACAACAGCGGCCTCAGCGCCATCTTTCAGCGCGTTTCCCGCTGCATATGTGTACGCGTTTTGGAGTGAGTGCGACGATCTTGTCGCAAGTCGCGAACACCAGCGATCGGTGTAAATGTGTGCGAGTGTGTGGCATCGCGGCATGGCCAGGCTGATAGAAATGCTACACTGGGTGGTGGGGAAGTGCATGTGCCGTATATGCCGAAAAACATTGGCGCCGGCCATGGCCGAGAATTTCGGGGTGGTGCGAACTTTCTTCTGCAATGTCAGGCGGTGCATATTGTGTCAGCTGTGCATGTGGCATGTTGTACCAGTAAGGGAATGCAACGACAATGATGTTGGTTGAATGACATGTCGGTTATGACTTACTGTCATTCAGACGGCTAGTCGACATTTGCGGTACCTATGTATATTTATAACTTTTTCCTGAGTAACAAAAACTGAGGTAGAAGTCGTTGCAAGGCAAGCACTCACTTTACACCTGGCAGAAATTTGTCATGTCATAATCACGATGAGTTAAGAAATAGCAGAGATGAGGCGCATTTTGTTGGCATGTCGTCGCGAATTTAGCTTGCTTCCCTTGCAACCTACTCCATGCGAAAAAATCAATACAGATTCGTCCACCTTGCGATACATTTTTCCACTGGGTGGAGCAGATCAAATCACTTGAAAAGGGCTCATTCAGAATCGATTTACCAAAAAGCGAGGGCGTGTTCTCCAAACTTTCAGTTCTACGCATGTAGCTGAACATTATAGCTGTCTTCAGATGCACGCGTCTTAGTCCCATCCTCTGCAGTTGAAGTACGACGGAGCTCGGAGTAAAAACTAATGCAACTCTTCCTGCTTTACCCTGGATATCAGACAACCCAGGACGTTACAACCCAATCCAGGACGATACAACCAAACCCAGGACGTTACAGGATTACAACCCAGGACGATATCAGAAAACCCACAAAGTGCCGGGTGCACATCAGGGTGAAATAACGCAGTGAGCGAAGAGGCCGCGAGCTTTCCAGGGCAGGGCGGTGAGCCGTGAACTGCCGGCATGTCGTAACGTTACGCCGCCATACGTCGTAACAGGACGCCGTCTCGCCATATGATACGGTGACGACAGGATTCAACTATGTGCGGGGGCCCAGACGAGGGGTAGTCATGGAGCTTTACCCCCCCCCCCCCTCCTTTGCGAAAATTGAGACAGTTTTTCACTATAACGTTGTTGAATGAGGCTCCACAGTCTGGCCATCAGGAAATGTGCTTGCTTCACAACTCACTGATTACCATGGGCAGTGACATGTTACACCGACCAGGAGACATTTGGTGACCAGGTTAGCAGATGGCCAAGGGAGAAAAAAATGTGTACGGTTCTCAGCGCAGCATATAGCTCAGTGGATATAGCATATAACCCGGTGGATATGTACGTTACGGAACAGACAGCTGTTTTAGGCGTCAAGGCAAACCTACATTGGCAACCCATCAATGGCCTAATTACTATACATTTCAGTGCTCGTGGTGTTCGCAGTCTGTTAGCAGGGCATCCAAGGTACTGTTAATGGGGCTGGGACTCGTTCCTGAAAGAAATCCTAGCCCCATCCCCGTCGCAAATCCTGGTAGCTGCCACGGCACACCACGGCTGCAGCCCGGGCTGTGGGCTATCAGTTAAGATAGCTGCGCATAAGCTTCCTGCGGGTAGCTGCCACGGCACGCCACGGCTGCGGCCCGGGCTGTGGGCTATCAGTTAAGATAGCTGCGCATAAGCTTCCTGCGGGTAGCTGCCACGGCACGCCACGGCTGCGGCCCGGGCTGTGGGCTATCAGTTAAGATAGCTGCGCCAAAGCTTCCTGTGAGTACCAGCACAGACAGGCTGTAGGATATATCCGAAGAAAGAATGTTCCTCCGTCAGTCGTTATACAAGTACAAGTCTATTTTCCCCTTCCTTCTCTCTCTGCACGTTGATATCAAAACCCTTAGTGGATTGCATCGTTGGGATTCAGTCCGACCCAGTCTATTAGTCTTGAGTGTATTCCACCTGAAAATAATCTTTTATGGATTTCAAATCCGATTTATCCGATCTATCACAGCAAAAGTATGTTCGAGAAGTCGTTGGCCAGTTCATTGCACCTCACCCCGCTTTGTCTATAACAAAATCATAGATGGGCACATTTACCACTGCATATCTAAAAAAAACATCTTTTGGGTATAATCCATTTTGGTCACAAATTTAGGATTAAACCAAATCCTGTTCCATTTGCTTGGAAAATATTCTGCCTCCGCTCAATGTAAAACACAGAATCATCCAATCTGTCTAAAGCCCTGCTTGAAAATATATAAGTTTAAATGACATTATGTGAGTTAATGTGATACAAAGCATCATGTATCAAATATCAAAGCATCATGTAACTTTTCCCGGAGCTTCTGCCTGGTTGTAAATTATTGGAGTGATCATTAAATACAACTGAATTTTCTTCTAGAAGTACTGGGTACACCAAAAAATTATATTGTGTTTTAACTTTTCCTACAGTAAGCATATAAACAACGATTTCAGATAACACCTTTGACTTCCCAACGGGTCGCAAACCACTTAAATATGCCACTTTTGAACATTCTCTATATCCACAGACGTAATGTTAGGGATTAAAACACTATCATAGTGCAAGTGCCGTTACGGTTTTCTCTGCTCCTATGGTATCCATGTCAATACAAAAATTTTGTTGAACCTTGGCCACGTGAAGAGCAAGCTCCCGGTAAAAGGAATTCCTCAAATATGAAATATGTCGAAAAGGTGTTCCGTCAACTTTCTATTCGGCTAAAAAAGTTAGCCAGTAGATTCAATCTGTTTGACAACATCTTTAAGGTAGAAGAAGTATCGTGAGCGTTAATTCATAGAAGCATGATGCAAAGTGCTGATCGCGCCTGCAGCACCCGGAGGCGTTCACGAATGCGGCGTTAACTGACCTGTTGTGTGTATCAGATACACAGGTTCTGTGTTCCTCTGCGGATCGACCTCACCTTCTGTGTGCCCTTGTGTTCCCCTGCGGGCCGACCTGATGTGCTGTGTGCTCCTGCTCTTCGGCCCGGTCTGACCCGCGTGTGTCTCTGTTCCAGCCCCGGCCCAACGAAGCGGGCGGTATGTACGGGCGCGGGGAGATCGTGCGCACGTACGCCGCCAACGCCTCCATCCCGGTGGGCATCGAACTGACGGCTAACCACCGGGGCTTCTTCGAGATGCGCATCTGTCCGCTCAACAGTAACGCGCGACCCGCCACGCAACGCTGCCTGGACCGCTACAAACTGCAGCTGGCCGACGGCGGCGGCGTGCGCTACTATCCACAGCCGGCCTGGAACGGCAAGATCCAACTGCGCTACAAGCTGCCGGCGGCACTCACCTGCCGCCAGTGCGTGCTGCAGTGGCGCTACGTGGCGGGCAACAACTGGGGCACCTGCGCCAACGGCACTGAGGGCATCGGCTGTGGTCCGCAGGAGGAGTTCCGCGCCTGCGCCGACGTCAGCGTGATCGACGAGAACGGAGTGTTCGACGAGACGCGCTACGACTGGGCCGAAAGCGAGCTGGGCGGCTCGGTGCCCGAGGGCGAGGCGGCGCTGATCGCCGAGACGGTGGCCGCCGTCGTGCTGGGCGTGCTGGGCGTGGTGGTGTTCTTCGGCGCCGTCTGCTGCTGGGCACTGGTGCGGCGCCGGCGCGTGGGTCCGGCCGCCGCCGGCAAGAAAAAACGCGGCGTCACATTCGGCCGCCAGATCTTCCTCATTTCCAACCCGACGTTGACGCGCGGCGGCAAGCTGGCCAAACCGAGCGAGACGCGGCCAACGACCGACACCAGCGCCATCTACGAGGTGTCGTCCAGCGACGGAAGCACTGGCTCGCGCACGGCGCCACAGTTCGCGGGGGACGAGGCGTCACCCGAGCCGCCGGTAGCTCCGCGCCGCAAGAGGGCTGGCAGGCTGGCGCCCGTGGAGGAGCCGGAGGAGGCGACGACGCAGGGCGGCGACGAGGCGTGGTCGTCGCGCTCCACGCCCGTGCTGGAGATCAGCCGGCCGACGCAGGTCACCGTCAACGGGGTGGCCGTCGTGCCTGACCCCATACCCGAGGCGTGATGACCACTGCAGCCGGCTTTCGCATTCCGTTGCAGCACTGTGCCGATCAACGCTGCCCTTGACCTGGAGACCGTGACCGCGTGTAGTCAGGTCAACTGTCAATCGATGGAATAGGACATCACAGTTTTTAGGGATGTTGGACGTGTGTGCGTGCGTGTGTTTGCCCATCCGTGAGAATGCTTGCAACGTCCCTAGTTTCGTAGCGGGAACCACTCTCTTTGAGTATGTGCTGATCGTGTTTCACGTGTGCTTGCGAACGACAGGGAGATAGCAAGGCCTCTCACCAGGGATGGCTTGAAGGGTCAATGAACTCAGGTGTTCCAGCCGGCAATGTTGCGCCTTGCCGATACTATTTATTCTAGCAAAAAGGTGCATGGATGCAGTACAATAAGAAATGCTTTCATCCCTTGTTACAGATCAACCAGGCTTTGTTTGCCGTCGCGAACAGTACGTGAATAAAGGTGCTACACAGATTAATTAACAATATTTTTCGGCGAAAGGAAGCCTTCAAACATGATCTGCGTCTCCAATTTGTCACCAGCGTCAGATAACATTCAATAATCGGAGGGCACAATTCCAAAATCGGCAAATGCTTGTCAACAAGCATTTGCCGATCGGCGGGCCGATCGGCGGATCCTTTCGACAGTCATTGGATATAAGATGACTGCTCTCACACATTGCGAATGTAACAAGTGCCTAGCCTTATCGCCCGTCATAGCATTCATCGGACGCCTTTTTCCTATCGTAAGCTCTGTCAGCGATGGAAGGACCAGCAGCGCCGCTGGCAATGGTCCACATTCCAGTCAGACTGGTGAAGGCTCAGATTTATGGATGCCACCAAGGGCATGCAGCAAGGCAGAGCAGTACACTTCAGCGGCCGTAGGACATGTATCTGATCGCTGATCCATGTTTTACATGTTTTACATGTTTTACATGTTACAAGACCATGTTTTACACAAGAATAGGACGATGGGTCATACGGGGATCGCTTGGAGGACGATACACATACGTGACAGTGGCAAGGGAGGAATGGAGGGGATAAAAGGTACATTGCGTGAAGTTTTGCACACTAACAAGGCAACAATCGACCTGCCGCCACCTGCTCTCAGCGTCTCGAGCGCAGTCGCCGCTCGGTGCGGTGGCTCACTCATCTGACCGACCTGCGGGGCTCTGCCCGCCGCCGACGGATGCGCACCGGCGGCACACTCCTCTGACCGACCTGCGGGGCTCTGCCCGCCGCCGACGGATGCGCGCCGGCGGCACACTCCTCTGACCGACCTGCGGACCCCTGCCCGCCGGCGGCGGATGCGCACCGGCGGCACACTCCTCTGACCGACCTGCAGGGCTCTGCCCGCCGGCGGCGGATGCGCACCGGCGGCACACTCCTCTGACCGACCTGCGGGGCTTTGCCCGCCGCCGACGGATGCGCACCGGCGGCACACTCCTCTGACCGACCTGCAGGGCTCTGCCCGCCGGCGGCGGATGCGCACCGGCGGCACACTCCTCTGACCGACCTGCGGGGCTTTGCCCGCCGCCGACGGATGCGCACCGGCGGCACACTCCTCTGACCGACCTGCGGGGCTCTGCCCGCCGCCGGCGGATGCGCACCGGCGGCACACTCCTCTGACCGACTTGCGGGGCTCTGCCCGCCGCCGGTGGACGCGTGCCGGCGGCGCCCAGGACGACCTCGTGTTCGCCTTTTCCCGGAGCATTGCATCACCCGGCGCTATAAACATCCCTCCGGCCGTTGCGTCACCTGGTAGGCAGACGGAGGACATCGCACGGTTATAGAGGGCGCTGTTGAGCCAGTAGAGCACGCTGTCGCTTTGGTAGAGCTCGCTGTGGACTGGTGCAGCGCCGGCTTGGTTTCGAGCGCTGTCAACTTTGCGAGCTACTAAACTCTCAGCAAAGCGTGGAGGCTTCAGGTGGAACAAACGACATTGCTGGCTTGAAGATAAGGCGTTAAGATTTCAACCAGATCACATTTTGTTTGCACTCCGATGGAGAGATCAAGCGTTCCCGCCATGATGTACCCGGAGCGAATAAGGGGCCCGAGACGCGGACAGATAAACCCGCTTTTGTTGCAGGGTAACAAAAATCACTCCTGCATGCATCCATTTTACTGCCACCATCACAGTCGCTGGTATTTATTAAAGCCTGATATCATCATGTAAGTGACCACTTCCTCTCTTGAAAGCACCTGAGTGTGTAGTTGTAAACACGGGTGCAAAGCAGAATGCGGTCTGGTTTGGTAGGTGTGGAGACCACACTGACGCTTATGAACATTATTTGTTGTCTTGATTTTGTTCTTTTTTAGCCTTATTGTCGTCTCGTCGTCCTTTTGCCGTTGCAAAACTTTTCGTACTATAGCCTTGCCTCGCCAACTTTGAGTATCATCTACCACCGATGATGGTAAAGGCTTACACCTAAACCATGGTGGAAAATTGGAAGCCGCTTTTTTCGCTACAACTGACGCATAAAACCAACAAGACTTCGACAGAATACAACCAGCTCCGCTTCCCTCATCATAGACCCAGTGACGCCAGATGACCTCCAGGTGACCCCCAGGCGACCTCAAGACAGACTCTGGAGGACACCAGGTGACCTCCAGCATCCACTCGGGGCGGACATCGACAGTCAGTCCCTCGTCAGCACTCCTTCTACTGGACTTACACAAACTCCGTAGCGATCTCGGCCCAATGCTCTTCTTTCTTACTTCCTTTCCCGCGGTTTTCATACCCGATTTACGTTTGGTTCTGCTTATGGAAAACCGTTTTGATAAATGTCGACTCTAACGCACAACGCATGTGATCAATTCCGGCACCGATTTCTTGCCGCACATTACACCTTTTGGTCGCGGCTGCGATGCCACGGTGCCATTTCAGTCTTGGGTACAATGTCGTCCTGATATTCTTCTGGTTTCTGGAACGCCTTGTTATTCTGTCTTACTTAGCGCTCGGGGGCCAAATTAACTCACCAAAGGTTTTCCCAAAATGGTTTCCAAACGACGCGGCGAAGCCACACCAAATTTTGCATAGCTGTAGACAATGGAATAGCGGATCTTCTGGTATCAAGAATTTGGATGTACCTTGTAAGGTCACTGACCTATGGCAGGTCAAAATTGGGCCATGCTTCAGCGAAGGCACGTTCTAGGGAATCGTTCAATCCGATTCAAACAACGGAGTGTTAGACGAAGCCAGACATCTCTGAGATACCTTCCTAGGCAACACAACAATTAAATAAACAAATAGCATTGACTTAGGGTCCAGGCACGAAGGTCAGACCAAGGTCAAAACCAACCTGTTTTATTACTCTTGGGCTTGCTGTATGGGCTGGTTTCTGTTACTCATTTCGAATATATTGATAGCCGAAACCGCATTATACATCTTCCATGGACTTCTTGTAGGTCAGAATAGGTCACTGACCAAGAATTACTCGGGTTAACATTTTGTTTTTAGGAACATTCTGCCCAGCGTAATCTTTGTCGCGTATCCAAATGCAAAACTGAACAGTTCTATATCATTTTGGTCATCGTGGCCTTTAAAAGTCTAAGCAAGGTCACTGACCTTAACAGAGGGTGTGACATCTTGCTTAGAACAGTTGCCAAGATTCTAGGGGCCCTTTGAAGAACGATCTGGAATTTGACCTTGTTTGACCTCATCATATCTGAAGATGATGACCTAGGAACTTGAAACTTTGACCTAAGTGAGTTCACGTACAGGTCAACACACCCCATGAATTTGGTGACGCTACCTCTTTTAGTTCCCGGAATCTCAGCGGGGAGTCAAAATGACCCCCTCCACCCGAGCGAACGGTATCCAACCGGCCATCCGAGCACGTGTTAAGAGGTCAAACAAGGTCACTGACCTTAACTGAGCGTGTGACATTTTCTTAGAACAGTTGCTTAGATTCTAGGGACCCTTTGGAGACCAATGTGAAACTTGACCTCGTTTGACCTTATTTGACTCGAAGGTCATGAGCTAGGAAGCTCAAACTTTGAACTAAGAGAGTTTACGTATAGGTCAACACACTGTGAATTTGGTGTCTCGTGCTCTCTTAGCTCTCGAGATCTCAGCGGGGAAATTGACACCCCACCCGAGCCAAGGATATCCAACCGACCACCCGGGCGCGTGTTAGATGCGGAAATACGATATTTCTTTTTCTACTATTGCAGTGGCGTGCTGCTGTGACCTTTTTGGTGCATTCTGTTATCACACTGTCGGAATATTTCAGCCAACTCTCAGATGACTTGCTTGCCTCGAGACTCATGCAAAACTTTCAATAATATCACCATGACTCCTCAGTAAAACTTTGTTACACATTTTCGTCGCACGGATATCTTAAGAGGCCAGTCCGCTCCCGGCGGCTGGTGAGAATACTAGAATACCGTCGAAGAGGGTCCACGGACGGAAGGTCCAAAAGCAGCTCCTCGACTCATTCCAGAGCTACAACAACGCCACGAAATACAGACCATCAACCAAGATGAATCGCTAGAAACATGGGAGTCGTTTTTCCACCGTAAGTCGAACCGTTCACTGCATCGCCGTGTACCGCAGAACCTCTCCTCGCACGGGCTTCCATTTAGCCAGCCAATTCATGACCTACCTTCTTCAGAAAACTCTCATCGCGATGGAGGCGGACATCACAATGAACATTTGCAATTTTCTTTTTATGCTACCTGCCGTTGGCTTCCACCTCCAGGTAGTCAAACGACGCAAAATAGCTTTCTTTGTCCATCACAACAACGAGAACGACTTTGTCAATCAGCCTCCGTTTTTGGTTTCAGTCGCTGTAGAAAGGGCTTCATGCTTCCAACATTTTAGTGGTTATCCTGCATAGATATCTGTGATATGGTAAAGTTGGATGACTTGAAACTCGGCAGCTGTATGTGCCTGTCAGCGGGGCATTTCCTCTGGAATACTGTTTGGCAACGTCCACAGCGTGAAATAGCATCCTCGATGCCGACCCGCACCATTTCCAAGCCCTCGTAAGAAAATTTT